TTATTAACAGATGAATCTCAGTAATCGATCTTTACTGCCACATGGAACAACTAAACCTAGAATCGTAACCTTACTTTCAATCTAGTTACAATTCACTCCAAGGCATACTACATTAGCTGTAGGAAGGCATTATGATGTCCCTATTGCTAAAATTTTCCTCGAATACTCCTTCCTACAGCACAAGTCTTTTTTCGTGTGAAACATTGAAATATTGAGATGATAATAAGAGCGCTTACTAAGTCCGTCTATGTGGCATACTGGGATGGTGTATGTGGCATATATCAGTCCAGTGAATTTGAAAATAAGTGTAACTATACATGTGCATCTTAGATTTGCAGAAAGTTTTTGTTCTCTTCTTAAGATTTACTAAACACTCAAAGTCAGTTACTAGTAAGAGTGTTGGCTTTATCTGGACTTATTGCAGCAAACATGCACAAATCGATCAATTCAGGATGGATGAGGTAGGAAATTAGTATATCTAAAACAAAACTCTGATTCGTTATGCTTCTTCCTAGCTGCTTGGTCTGACCATGGGTTCAAATCCCTCAATTTACACTTCCAATTGGCATTCCTTTAACTACGGACAAGCCCTAGCAGTCTTCTAAGCCCAGCAATACCACTTGTATCCACTCCCCAGGAAGTAATGGACATCTAAGTCGAAGTTTCTTATACCTTCCAACTTGACTTTGAGTCCCCTGTTTTGGCTGATCGAAGCATTTCATACAACAATCCTGCAAGACGCACATAAAAATATTTGAAAATGTCAAAAAAGGGGACAAATTACTCCGCTGCAGGAATTCACTGAAATTGATAATTTCAATTATTTAATTAACGAATATTAAGTATACATCACATTTGTTATAGATGAACTCTGGGGAATATAATGACACTTTGTACTGTACCAGTCAATTTTCACTTCTTGGTAGTTATTAAATTTATAAAAGAGAAAATGGATGGAATTTATTTATTCATATGAATTGCATATTTGGACACATCCCATACTAATTCCTTTTTTAGTCGAGAACTTGGAGTGAATCCTCACTGCACCAGGTCTCAGCTATGTGAGTGAATATTAAAAAGTTCTCTTCAATATCACATAGTTGCTGAAGAACTCAAAAATCACCTGTTTTGTGGCAATCAATTTTTCTTTCTATTGCATTGGGTTTAAGCCTCTACAGCATGCTGATTATTCAAGGTGTGAATAAACACTTATCTTTTCTTCAAATCAAACACCCAGAGTCTCAGTTTATTGGAAGGGATGATGCATAAATCAAAATTCTCCAGCTAGTGATCTGATGTACAGAAGTGGTAACTAAAAGTACATGACTTGAACTTTCTGGAAATTTGATAATCCTATGAAATCAGTTGAATTGAATTCAGCCTTAATGGTATTTAACTATTTTATTACTGTGTGAAAGAGCACTTCAATTAAATTTCCCCATTATTGTTGAACTCAAGCCAAAAAGTGTTAAAGAAGCTATGACTTTGACAATAATCTCAAAGAGTCGAGTACTTCAGCAGAACCAAATTATTTTCATATAACCAGTCTGAGAATTCAAGAAGGTCTTCCAGCTTATATTTTTCAACATTGTTTTAAGTTCTTTTGAGTCTGATGCATGATCAGGGCTCTAGTGTGTCAAGATTTACCTGATGGATGGCTTACGTTTTACAATTTTATCTCACTAACTAGACCAACTCTCGTCTTCATCATTTAATACTCTCCTTTGCCTCCATCCAAATCTGACTCTCAATCTTCCTCTCCCAAATCCTCTCATACACCAAACCCACAATAGAATGCTGAGGAAACACCGACCAAGTTAAAGTTCTAGCAAGGGATCTCATAGGTTGCATTTCTGCAAGGACAGTATGTCAATTATAGGCTGAAAGATTTAGACATGTTGCCGAAGAAATGTTCCAGGCTTCCAGCCAACAAACTCTATTAATCCTCCCTAAGAATGACCCCATTTACTGAGGTACTGGCTATCCCCAACCTGTAGTCACCAATTTGTTTGTCCACCCCACATGATGTCACTCCTTATTATAATAGTTATATTGTCAAACTAAATCCAAAAATGTGTTACCCGAGCATTTTACTCTACTTGTCTTAGGGTGTAATTGTATGTGTGTTGGTTTCTCATATTCAGTTGTTCACATTCTATCTTCAATTTATTCTCAACTTGATCCCAATTAATAAAAAAGATTGTTGAGGAATTATCCTAATGCCTTTTCGTATAGACAATGAAATATTTTTTTGATCACAAGTAATGATATACTTGATTCATCAAACTGTGTATTCCTGTTCACAAGCAATAGATAATCAATGCTTTGTGAAAAAACTAATCTATGAAGTCTTCCAAGCTCTATGGCAACAGAAGAGAATCCCATCAATCACAACAGCATGTCCCACGAGCCAACAAAAATGTCTTCTTGTTCCTTGCCATCTTATTTGCTCATTACCAAACATCATCATAAGTTCCCTAGAAACCACAGGTTTCTGTCTAAACAGTCACAAAGAATAAAATGAGCTTAAAAGTCGTTGTGCATGCGATGTACTGACATTCATCCTACTTCAATCATTGATTTTGCAAAACACTCATTCCAATGCAATCTCCCAGTGAATAATTCCATAAGTCTGCTGATCCACAAATTTAGATCAACTCCAGGAGTTACATATAAGAAATCCATACGACTTAATTATTGAACAGGCACCACGCTACAATTAAAAAATTGATTTACAAACTGCATAGACCTAATAGCATAATAACTCCAGAACAAACACAGAGAGGTGATAACAAAATACTAAAATTCCTTTCAATTTAATCAAATACATACAAGTGAACTGAATCTAGCGCATATTCACTCAACATTGAGAGAGAAAGAAAGTAAAAATGGACTCACTGTCACGGCTAATTTGCCGGAAGTTCTTGTACTCGCCGCCCTGAGACGATGAGTCGGAATCAGACATCGACATTGGGATTGGTAATGTTCTTCAAGCTGTCAACTTCTCTTTTTTCCTTGTGCTCCGATCGGTCGATCGTACAAATTGTTGTTGATCGGAGTTCGGATTGCAGAGAGAAAAGGAGAAAGATGAAGAATCTTTAAAATGTCGTGTAATTGTATTACGGTTGTGCAGGTTGACTGTTTATACCCCATCGTTGAATTGGGGTATTTTTAAGTTGAACAATGCTGAGTTAATCTTTTACGACAATAGGACGTGTGAGACCACACATTTGTGAATTTTTTTTTTTATTTATGTGGGTCTCATAAGTTTGGCTTCCTAATTTTCACTTTCAATTTTTAAGAATTACATATTTGGTTTCCGAGTGTTAAAAGACAGATATTTTAAGTTTGTTATACAATTATAGTGCTTGAGCCACATTATTTTAGAAAAATGTATTTTGAAATAGTTGATTGATGGAGAATGTGTGGTTGAAAAAGAAGGAAAAAGTTATTGATATGATGAAAAATATTATTTTATTGAAAAATGTGTGATTGAAAATGAGTAAAAGAATGAAAATGAAATTTTAATGTGTGTCGTTGACAAGGGCATAAAATATTATTTTGTTTTAAAAATAATACTATCATTTTATTAATAAATAAAAATAAAACATTTTTCACTTAAAAATTCAAAATCAACTAACTTTTCTTATCTGTTTATTTTAATACTGATAAAAATTCTCTGATTTTTCTTCTACTTCAACCTCAAAATTTTAGAAATTTATCAAACGCTGAAGAATAAAATATTTTTTTATATCTAAATTCGAATCGGTAAGTATATTTACTTATATTTAATTTCTTTTTTAATTAATATTTTTTTTTAATCGATATATCTTTTTTTACATAGATTAACATGTAGATAAATTTTTTTAACAGATCTATAATTTTTTTTAAAATAAAAATAAGAAAAAAATTTGTCTATATGTATATTCTTTTAGACGAGATTCATGGTAATATACAAAGGAGACTGAATCAACTACGTCGATCAAAAACGATCATGCGACCAACCGACTATTTTTTAAATTCAAAATTCTGTTGCGTTGGGTTTGGCCAATTTTTCGACTATTTTTTCTTAAAATTAAAAATTATGTTTCGTCATGGAGATATGACTATAATCTTGATTTGTTACTTTAGTGATTTCTAATTGGATAAAAAAGATCGATGAGTATTGAAATGGACGATATATATACTCGGTGATATTTCAATTTTCATAACATAGAGTACATCATATACGAAAATGTACCATGATTAATGATTTATAAAACAAACTTAAAGTCGATCCCTCTTAGTACAATATGGAACTGAGATTTCTTTTCAACAAGCATTCATCTATTTCGATTCCACCTATGACGGTTGCTTCTAATGCTAAAGCGAATTATCTATTAGAATTGAACAAAATGCACACAATTTCTCTTTGCGCGACTGTAGTGGGAAAGAATGTCGCCAAATGTGAATTCGAAAATTCGAGTGGAGGGGATCATAATATCAATGATTTTTAGGACGCATTGGAAATATCACATAAGGATGTTGAGGTTATTCCCAAGATAGTTGTTATTTATCGTGATCTCATTGTTATGAACAGAATTCTTTTGATAGTTCACAATAACGAGAATGAAAATGAATATATAAATGATTATTTAATTATTTTATCCCGTCAAAGACACAAGCGAAGTGGGAGCTCAAGGCCAGATCGAGTGGATCATCCTCTAATTCTTCGCATGTGGTTCTCGATGATGAGAATTTGCATGTCGAGCAAATGTTTGAAACAAAGAAAGATTTGTAGGAATCTACCGGATTGCACGGAAATACAAATTTGAGTTCAAAGTAAAGACATCAAACAAATCATTATTGACAATTATCTGCGTCGAAAACAGTTGTCATTGGCGTATGCTAACAATGAAGATGGACACAAATGAGTTATTTGTAGTTCTCAAGTATACACGGGAACATACTTGCCAAGAGAAAATTCGTCGAAATGATCACAGGCAAACTCGAGCATGATTTATTAATTGATAGATAATGTACAAGTATCATGAGCCAAGAACAATCTATAGACATTCGGACATCATTAACGATGTCCGTCAAAAGTACGGAGTATTCATAAGCTACCGAAGGCCCGGAAGACCAAAGAATGTGCGTTGGAAGTTTTAGTGGGTTCGGTCGAGGAGAGTTATGTTAAATTGGCTAGGTATTACCATAATATGGGGACAATTAATCATGACTCGACATCTTTTATTGAGACGGATGGCGAGAATTGCTTTAAGTTTTTCTTCATGGTTCCTGGACAATGCATTCGGGGATTTCGAAATGCAATGCGACCCCTAATTTTAGTCGATGGTACAACTTTGAAAGTTAGATACGAAGGCAAGTTGATTATTGCGCCATGTGAAAATCCCAATATCTAAATTTACACTCTTGCATTTAGCATAGTCGATAACAAGAATGATCTATCAATGTGTTGGTTCTTCACCAAGATGGAATCGGGAATCTGGTCGTCTTGAGTATGCACAATGGCTAATTCACGTACAAAACCCCGACCATCCTCCTCCGTTGACGACGTTAACTTAGTTAGGACTTCAAGTTGACATATTGACATTCTAATTAGTTAATGATCGTGTGATGAAATTTTGAAACAGCATACAATGTAAATCGCAAATATATAATACTCACCTGATGATCGTCGAGGAGATCTGATAATTGTCTGTCAAATGGACAACCGACTGCTCGGGATGCTCGTCATGATCCATCCAATGGCAGTTTGTCTACCCTCTCCTCGTATGCTAGGCACTCAAGATGAGGACATTTTCATATTCCCAAATTTGAAATACATACAATTATTATATATAAATTTAGTATAAAAAATGTTTTAACTTTGATTATGTTCAACATTTACCTGTACTATCAAGGACAAACCATAAGTTGGGCATTGAATGTGATCTCGTGAAAACGTATACAGTGTCATGAAAACATTTTCGCCCCACGAATAGTTGTTGAAGGCATCGATATCGTCGATAACTTCAAAATGAAAAAGGTCAACCGCAGTCCTTTTGTGATGACACATCACCAGCTCTCAAGGATATAGACCAATCTCATTTTCAATATGTCCAACATCTAGTCGCACTTTTTGATTGCGCGCAATCAATTATGGTAGAAACGCTGTTCCCCGTCACTGAAAATATGCATCGTACAACCTATTGTTTCTTTGAGTACAGTTGTTCGTTGTTTCATCGCCCATAATGTTCAGTCCAGTCATGAGGGAAAACTCAAAAATAGATAAACTAGCAACATTGTCCCCTAGATTGAAGTGAGCGGCATCGTCGTCGACTGGCCTAAGCAGTCGACATAGTGATGCATTAATGATTTGCCCGGAGTACTGTACCTCTCTCAATTGATACAGGGACCACACGAATGACTGTGTAGTGTATCTCTGTGCTAATCATCAGTAACTCCAATACAGTAGTAAAACTATCCAAACTACTGTTTCAAGTTCATTTTCCTACCATCTGTTTGAACTCAGCATCGAGACAGTACTCCATTTTACAAAAATTCAAATGTTATAACCTTGCAAGAGATAATGGAATAAAGTATAAACTTAGAAAATTAAGCGATCCAAATTGTAACTACTATATGCAAGAAATATGTTCATTTTACATCGATGCGAATAAAAAAATGGTTTAATAAATTAAAGGAAAAAGCAAAAATAAGAATTACAAACAAATATTAAAAAATTGAAATGAATTAAATAAAAAAATTGAATAAACAAAAAAATAATTAAAAAAATTAAGAAAAAATAATAAGAGTGTGTTTGGTAGAGATTAAAATCGGATTAAAATTGAAAAACTAGCCGTTATTGTTGACTTTTATTAGATGGGTGGGATCCAATAATGAATATATTTTCAATTTTAATTGGATTTTTAGTGTTACCAAACAAGCCCTAAATAAAAATAAAATACCAAATGAAAAAAAGAAAAATAAATTAAAGAAAATTAAAAAATAATATAAAAAATTAAATTATGATAAACATAAAACAATTAAGATTTTTTTTAAAAAATAATAAATAAAATTACAGACCATAATAAAAAAAAAGGAACAATAAGTTAAAGAAATTTATAAAAATTAAAGCAAGAATATGAAAAAGTATTCTAAATTGGAAAAAAAATTATAATAAAAAGAAAATAATCAAGAAATTTTTATAACTAAAAAAATAAATTAATTAAATAAAAAAGTAAAGGCAAAAAAAAAAAGAAAAATAAATTACATAAAATTATAAAAAAATATAAAAGTTAAAGTAAGAATATTAAAAAGTATTTTAAATTGAAAAAAATTAAATTATAATAAGAAGAAAAGAATTAAGAAATTTTAAAATTATTACCAAAATAATAATAATAAAAACAAAAAAATTAAACAAAATGAAACTATAAAATTAAATAAAGAATATAAATATTATTTAAAATTAAATAAAGAATATAAATATTATAATAAAGAGAAAATTTTAATTAAACAGTAAAAAAATTAAGAAAAAATATATCGGCAAAAAAACTAACTTTGTTCAAGATAACTTCGTCGGTGAATGGGTTGTATGGTGGTCGGCTTTGGGTTGATGTGAGGGTTGTGTGGTCGACTGGATCCCGACTGTGCGAGACTTTTTTATTTTTCCTGTCCATTATTTGCACAAGATAAAGGATATTTTTGGCTTTGTTCTTTAAATTCCCAATTCTCCTTTTATCTTCTTCTTTTTTTAACTGTCAAATGTCATAATGGAAATATAGCTGTGTCAACTGATCATTTCCTAATATTTCCTCATTGAATAGTCTGAGACTCATTGGTTTATACGGGTTGGGTGGATTCTCAGTATGGTAATTTCACAAATGGTCACTAAAAATATTTACTTAACTCATTTAATCGATAAAGTTTATGATATTGCAATAGCTGATTATTTCTTTAATGACATATACTCCGGATTCAATG